CTCTCCATAATTTTGCGTGATCACCAAGCAATCTAATTTGAAAAATAAAATAATTATCTATTTGATAGATAAATAATTATCTGGTAATTAATCAAAGCATTCCAATTTGAATATAACATAATTATATATTAGATAAATAGATAATCATCTAGTAATCAATCAAATACGATTTATTACAAACCAAGTATTTGTCCTTTATAGTTTTTTATTAAACCATCAAACTATTAATGAATACTAAAATAATTCCATAATTCTCACTATTATTGGTTGTACATTGTGTAACGTCCCAAAAATTAAGACCAAAAATTTCATTTTAATGATAGTAAAACCATCATCCAAAACGTGTTTGTAAAACCATAAAGAAAATCAGAGTATGTCAATAATCATCCAAGTACATCAAATCACAAAATGCGGAACAACGTGGTGTGTGCGCTGCGGTCATCCCGAGCTCTTCCCCTTCGATCCGGAAGTACATGAAACATAAACTGAAAACGTAAGCACAAAGCTTAGTGAATTCCCCAAAATAACTCATGCCATACATATCAAACATACAATGGGCCATGCCCAACAACCATCGGGCCTCGTCCGGCATCGAGCCCCGCTCGGAACAGATCTGTCAATAATATGAGATGGGCCCCACCTCATCACATTCATCAGGCCCCGCCTGACATCGGGCCCCACCCGGTATATGTATAGACACATAAAACACATGCAAGAATCATTAAGATAAATAACATACACTACACTCATCAGGCCCCGCCTGGCATTGGGCCCCTCTCGGTATACATATCACATACTACACATGCAGGAGTCACACAGACAATTAGCATCCTAATCATAATAAATCATCGGTCGGCACTAGTGCCTTCGACCTGCTAAACGCTGAGAGGAGACTCACCTCAACTGCTGAAAATCAAATAACTGCTCGGACTGCTGATCCGGAAAGTCCCCGCGCTAGTCAATCACATAAAACCCCAATTAATAATTGGGCCATAAACCATGACTAGGAATCTCATTCATATGTCCAACTCCCAGGGTGAAAGACCATTTTACCCTTTCCTCACTTGGCCCAACTAATCCAAGCCCAAAACCCTAAATGGCCCAAGGCCCAAAATCGATCCAATGAGCTTTTGAGAGAATGCTTGGCGCCCAATCAATGAGGCTTGGCGTCCGAACGCCCAACGTTCTAACCCAAACGCCTGGCGTAACCACAAAATCCCAAATCCTTAACCAAGGTCTTGATGTCTTAAGACCTAACGTTCAAACTTCAGATCCAATGCTAAAAGAACGTCTAAAGTAAAGTTTCAACCTTTATGACTTTGCATGGCTACAAAAGAGCCCAACACCAAAGTCTAACTTAAATCATACTCTAAAGTTCCAAAACTCTTGCATGGAAGAGTATCAAGGTCTAAGCTTGCATTTTTATGATTCTAAACCCTCCAAAATGCTTGAGAGGACAACCCAAACCTCTGGATCATTACAAACTCACAAAAGTCAAGTTCTTAGGACCAAAAAGAAAATAAAACTACACTTAAGCAAGATCTAATAAAGAATTCATCAAGATCTGAACTTTATACCTCCAAAAGGTGCTCCAAGATGCCAAAAGTCCAGATCCAAAGGCTAGAGAGAAACACCAACACTCCAAAGATCTTCGTTCTCTACCAAGAACACTAAAATGATACTGAAATGTTACTCCAAGGCTTCAAAACATTCACACACACTTAGGGTTTTGAAATGAGGGCTATAAGGGACGGAGGATGGAGATAAGAAACGTTTTAAGGCTATAATGGCCTTTAAATAGGGTGAAAACACTAAAAATTAGGATTTCTCCTCTGCGTACGAACGTCTGGTGTCTACAAACTTATGCTTGGTGTTCCAATGCCTAGCGTTCCATTCCCAACGCCTGGCATTTGGGACCAAAATGAAAAGTTAATACAAAGCAATGCCAACAATGCAAATACCTAAAAACTGGCGTTACACATTGTGTGCAACCCAATAGACTTATGTATTAGTGTGACTAACATGTTGTGTCAGTAGACATATCTCTAACAATAAATATGTTGGAAATTTTATGCTACTAAAACAAAGAATTTTAATGTGTTTTACAAATATGAAAAGTAAAAACCCTCACACTCTATTCTTCAAATCAACACATGATTTGAAGATCCCTAATTGATTTGATCATAAATATATGCTCACAAAGAAGAAGATGAACTCTATTTCTAAGCTATTGCAATAAACAAACAATTGCAAAATTCTCTCTAAAAGTAATACACACATATGTGATTGAACTCAGTGGAATTGAAGAAGAAAAAGTCTCTTTCTAAGCTATTGCAATAAACAAACAATTGCAAAATTCTCTCTAACAGTAATACACACATATGTGATTGAACTCAGTGCAACATTGTGGGATTTAATGATGGTGCATATCCATATTCTTTAGTTGATTTACGGTCAATATGTAGATTTGTGATAGTCATGATTTCAAGTTAAGGGCTCATTAAACTCATCATCTTCATCATATTTAATGGTACGAGTTTCAACGAGATTATCTTTTTAAAGTTGTAACATTTTAAGGTGAATTGCTTGAAGTGTCATCAAATTCTTCCAAGTTACACGCATATATTATTCTATGGTTTGACTTTGATTGATGTCAACTTTGAAAGTTTTTGATATTAATAAATATCTTACAAACATATGCTGATATTCTTTCACATCAAACTTACCTAACTACCATTTTAATATAGAATGAAACAATTGCATCCAAAAACATGAAGGTGACTTATGTTTAGTTTATTTCCTTCGAACATTTCATATGCAATTTTTCCACGTCTACTAATAATGATGGATCTATTTTGGGTAAAAAGATGCATTTGTAGGTTCATCTTATAATAATGAGGGTAACTTAGATTCAAACAACATGGAACTTCTATTTTATTATATTGTTATATTTTTCCTTTCTTTAGCTAAACCTTCTTGTTAAATTTATCTTATCAACTACATCCCCCCCTCTCCATATCTCTATTAGCATTTTCTTGCTACCATCTTTACCATCAAACATCAAGCATGTTCTAAATATCTATATCTTATAATCGCCAGAATATAATTTTATGCGGGAATGGTTTCCTTTTCATGGATACATGTTTTTATATTACTTTGATTGTCCACTCCATGTGTAAGCTTTGACCAAGTACCATATGCATGTATGTTATGCATTTATGTGTTTCTTTTCATCTTCGTGTTGTATGAGAGTTTACAGTGGCGTCATTGTCAAGTTTGTTGTGTTATTTTGTGCTTTCCTATCGATATTGTTAGAGTGTATGGGAGGACTAACTATAGCCATCATGAAAAAATTGAGGTTGAGTTTTTGTCTTATGTTTGATTTAATTAGAATGAATGGTAATCTTGCATTGTTGCATGATGTAACTTTCATGATTGTTGGATGTTCTCTTGAACAATCATACTTATTGTGGCTTAGGGGTAACAAGTAAAATGATATCACACTGAACTTCAACATTTTTATGTAGCCACATTAAGTTACCAACATTAATCTATTGGACTTAAATCTTCAGTTAAAGCCATTAGCATGGCTTGTGAGGAAAATATTCTATAGTAAATCAATGCCTTTATTGCAAAGGCAAAATATGACATTGTTGAATTGGTTTAAAAAATAAATAAGATGACATTGAGATTACTGACTTGCTAGTTTCTTGGAACCCTACCTTGCTACCCGTACTTATTTCTTATATGATTTCTTGTTAGAGAGACATTTGTTGTGGTCATCTCATGCCTCTTTTGTTTATGAGACTGCAAATATAAGTATAAGTAGATCCCACAAACTATCGGGCTTTACTAGTATTATATGTGGCCATAGTTGAAGACAAATGATAAAAAAGTATAAAAGTATTTATTAATAACACAATTTCCATTATTTCATGTCAAACTTGTTTGAAAATTATTTCATTTACCCAACCTACGACAAGAACACACTTCTCTATTTTGTCTTCAAAAGGGTTGCCAAATCAGCTCGATTCCTATTGCTGATGTTTATGTTGGCCTCTTACTACTATGCCACGTTCGATGATTCTTCTTAGCTTACAATTGTTAAGTGCTTCTTACAGACTAAAATGCCCTCATGATTCTTCTGTTCGATTACTGCTTACTGCTGGTGTTTCATGCATGTTGAGAGACTGGGAGAGGGGGGATATGAACATGCATACATGAAAAAAAAAGAGACTAAAGGGAGCTGATCCGTACACAATAATATTTTTCCATACACAACATTTTATGCTTTAAAATGTTGTACCGTACAATCTTGTAAAACATAATTTGTTGTGTATGAAGAATTTTTTTTGTGTACAAATCACTTCCCGAGACTAAAATGCCCTCATGTACATAACATGTGAGAACGGTTAAAGGCTATGTGGAGACAAATGTTAGAGTGAGGGACCAATAGTGTTACAAATGTTTGTATTAGGGACAAAGTGTGATGCTAACCAATTTTTTGAACTAAAATGCAAACGACAAGTACCAAACATGTAATTTACTCTAAAATCGAGATGTCCTACATCATTACTTTCTCAACTGTGTGGTCACATTGTTATACAAGTCAAAAAATAAATATAAAATTCCTTCCCTAAAATAGAGTCTTTCCTTTTGGCTATTTTTGTGATTTGACTTTATTTTTTAATATAAAAAGATATTGTTATGATATTTGTCTTAATATCTTTTAGGATCGAAATTTATATCCCGAATTGATTGTGTTGAGAAAGAAACATGAATACTAAAATATGCCTTCAAATTTTGCTAGGAATACAAACAAAATTAAAGATTACAAGACCGAATTGATTGTGTTTATATAGAAACATGAATATTAAAATATGCCTTCAAATTTCGCTAGGAATACAAACAAAATTCAAGATTACAAGACCAAGTTATATGATATATAGCATTAAATAAAAAAGCAATGTGAAAAAAACACAATCTTATAACTATCAAAGTCAAACCCTAGGAGTGATTGTAGCTCTCAGACTGTTCTTCATCACCACCGTAAATTCTGCTTTCTCACCGAAATCTACCTTGCTCTTTTCCGGCCACGAACTCCATTCAAATTCCTGAACCATCAGAGCGATCATCAAGCTCACATGCAGCGTCGCCATCCCCAGCCCCGGGCATATCCGCCGCCCTACTCCGAAGGGTATCATCTTTAGTCCGGTAACACCTGTTATGTCTGCTGTTTCTCCTCCGGTAAGGAACCTATCCGGATCGAACTTATTCGGGTTGTTCCATAGTTTTGGATCCTCACTGATTCCGGGAAGATATATCTCCACGTTGGTGCCCGTGGGTATATCGTATCCGGCGAGTTTTGCAGGTTCGATGACGGAATGGGTCAAAGACAGATAAGTTGGAGGATGTTTTCGGAGTAGTTCCTTCACGACGGCGTTTAGATATGGCATTTTCTCGACGTCTTTCTCATTGATTTTTCTTTCGCCGGAGACCGCTTTTATCTCGTCGTGGAGACGCGATTGGATGGAAGGATTTTCAATGAACCTTGCGATGGCCCATTCGATCGCTGTGGCGGTGGTGTCGGTGCCGCCGTTGAGAAACTCCGAACATAACGTCACAATTTCAGCATTCGTCGGTGAATCCTTCCGTCCTTCCACCGTTAAATCGAATAACGTATCGAGGTAGGCGAACTCCGCTGCTGTGGGATGGGACCCTGGATTTTTGACCGCCTCCCGCCGCCGTTCAATGAACGGAACTAACGTCGCGATCTGCTGTTCCCTTACTTCCATTGCTCTCTTACGTTGCTTCGAGAAAAAAGGTCTCAGCAATGGCAGATAATCATCCAACCTCGGATCGAGCGTAATCAACACCGTTTTCATCATCTCGTCCATTTCCTCGATCGTCTTCTCATCCATCTCCACACCAAAACACATCGAAAGCAGAATACAAAACACAGCAAATCTCGCGTTCTTCAACACCCAAACCGCACCACCGTTCGCCACCGCCTCCGTCTTCAACCGCTCCATAAGCTTATCCATCGCCGTCATCCTCACTTCAGTAAACGTACGCAATTTACTTGCACTTAACGCATTCTGAACCATGTTCCGCCTCAACGACCTCCACACTGGCCCATACAAAGCCGCGTTAACGGTGAACTTGTTGCAACTGAACACACCCCTCGTCGGATTTTCAGCAGGACGCGTCGCAAAAACCTGTCCTTTCTCGATCAAAGCTTCATGAACCAAATCCGCCTGCGACAAAATGATCATGGTTCGAGTACCCATTCTGAGAGTGATAATTGGGCCGTATTTGGGTATGAGTTCTCTGACATACTGGAAGAAAGGTTTCCCGGAGCCGGCTACTTGGAAGAGGTTACCGACGATGGGCCAACCCGGAGGTCCAGGGGGTAGGTTGAGGCGTTTGGAGTGGCGGGTGAAGGAGAAGATGATGGCGGAAAAGAAGAAAGCGACTGCAGTTAAGAAAAGAGAAGAAGACTCCATTGATAGAATGAATGAATACGAAGGAGACAGGCTGTGGCGGAGGGTATAAAAACAATGCAGGGGTTTACAGGTGAGGATGTAATTAAGACGATGTATCAGAAACCTCCCAACTACATACAAATCTAGTGGCGCTTTGTTTTCAGATTCTTTCATATTTAATTTCATAATTAAACACTCTCATGTTCTATGTTCAAGAGTCATTTATGTTCGTCGAAATTGGGAAACTGTAAAACGCAAATTGTGAGAATTCGAACATGCATATCTGTTGGGGACTTGTTTCTGACTGTAATTAGAAATTTAAATTTAATCCTTGTCTAAAGTAAAATTTCATTTAATTTTGTGAAGTAGCTGATTAGGTAAAGAAGTTATGTTTCAGTCAAACAAATTTAGAGTTAAGTTTTATCATTAAACTCAATATTGCTTATTAGTTTCTTACGTATAACCAAAAGTAGCTAGGAGTATGTAGTAAAACTCAGTACACATTCATAAAACGTATAAATCAAACTAAAACTAGTTTGTTTTGTTTCGTAACAAAAGAAAATTGGGTTTTTGCTTAATCCAAAATTTGGTTCCTTTTTAATGCAAATAAATTTGTTTAAGTATGTAATCGGGTTCGAATTAGAATCCTAAAACAAGCCTAAAGTTTAAGTTCATATTTGTCAAAATCAGGGTTTATATATTGTCGTTTACAATTTGCAAAATCAAATTGAATCGTAGAATGAACTAGTTTTCAAATCTGTTCACACTATTTTGTTTGAGTCGGTACCCATTATAACTTGATCGATGTTGATTAAAACGTCAAATGTATAATCAACTTTAGGTTAGCATGAGATTTTTTAGTTTGAATGACTAATTTGCTTAATTCTAGAAACTAAAGATGTGATTATAGAATAAAGACAAAAAAACTGAGATCAACAAGATAAAATCTTATGGTCCCTATCGGGATCCTAATAAATAACTTGTTTTAGAATCGGTTCTATTGTGATTAATATCGTTTTTTGCTTGTAAGATCTTACGATAATAACAACTTCAGATAATAATTAAGATGTTATGAACCTTGATTGAAAGAGTATAATACCATATGACATATTTTTTTACCCTGGAAATATATTTTTTACTCCGGTAATTTCCAGGTGATATGAGCAAAGCCTTAGGGTAGGTTTTAGAACAAGATTTTTGAATAACCATGCAAATTATTCTCTATGTCATTTATCATCTAATCAGTGTGCTGGTTAGCCACATACGCTCCACTAACGACCAATAAAGTGCAACGTGCAATTTCATGGGTTAACATCAAATTCATATTTTTTCTAAAGTAATTAAGAGTGAGATTTTAGAAAATAGTTTAGTTACTTTTCATAATTATACTTTTAATGAGGTTATGTCCTATCAAACCCGTTTGGCTAACGATCCCCCACCAATCAAGGAAGCGGTGAGAAAGAATGGATACCTAATGACGGTCATTTTATAGACCACTTTCTTAAACTCCCCTTATAGATCGGCTTCGTGAATGAGACGTACTAGCGGTTCGACTGACTTGTCATATACATATTGTAAATATTAAACATTTAATTTTACATATAGTATAAGGCGTATTTTAAACATTTCAAAATACTAGGTTTAATTACTAAATTTCAAAATTTAAAACAATTTAAATTTAAATTTAAATTTAAATTTAAACCAAATCATTTAATAATTATTTATTAATTAAACATTTAATTAATTTATTAAATCAATTTTAGGATTATCCATTAGTTTAATCAACACAATTTAACCTAATCCACTCACCTAATTATTTTCAAAAATATGGGAGGGATGCACAAAATCTAGCAATTATCTAGTTAAACAAGTAAGAAGATAATTACCAAAAATAAGAAATCTCTATCATATCTTTGATTTTCGAAAATATGGAAGGGATCAAATAAAATCTTGCAATTATCTAGTTAATCAAATAAGGAGATAATTGCCAAAATTAAGAAATCCCTACCAAGACCCTAATTTCCAAAATTTGGCAAGTCTTGGGGAGGAAGGCAAGGATTTTCAAATCATTGCCATAATTTCGAAAAATCATAGGGTTAGGAAACCCTAAAATCGAAATCTTGTAGGCTAAGGGAAAGGGTTACAACCCTTTTCCAAATTTTCGAAATCTAGGGTTAGAAAACCCTAAATTGCGAAAACCCTAAGTCCAAAGGGTTTAATTGCCATAAACCCTAATTGATCAAGTTCAACCAATTGCAATCAAATTCAATAGAAAACAAGCCAAGGCTCTGATACCACTGATGAGTTTTGAGCATAACAAACAATCCTTATGTGTGCATGCAACCCTAATACTCTTGGATCTATGTTTTCTCTAATTGAACATGCAAGTATTGAACATCAAAAGGAAGAACCTAGGAAGCCTATATTATTTTCGAAATTAACTTCTAGAGTTAGTAAACATACATTTGATTGTTATATAGTAATAACAATCCAAATCCTTAGTGTTGCTGAAGCTTCGAGAGAAAGCACCATAAATGTCGTGCCTCTAATGGTTCACACCCAACACTAGCAAGAGGATGAGAGGGGAGAGAGGAGTAGAAGACTTGAGAATTTTGGCTATCCTTCTTAGGGTTAGAGTGGCCGAAATCAGGAGGAGTATAGCCCTTTATATAGTTGTGTTAGCTTAGAGCCAAAGTTAGGGTTTTAACGAGGAAACCCTAATTCCTTAGCTTAAGGCCTAAGCAGCCCAAGAACTTCATCCAAGAGGCCCTTGGACGAAATTTCTAGGGCATTCTGTCACACCCCCAAACTGGAACGACGGAAACGTTCGGGGGTGGATGACGTCATATGTAGTATCACAACAAATGCATCATAGTAATCAAAGTAAACACAACCATTACATTGAATATATATAAAAAGGTATTTACATCTGTTTGATTCATATTTATATACATCAAAAGTAGCAAAATAAAGACGTGACTCTATATGCTCCGTCTTCTCAAAAGTCTGCTGAGGTACCTGTCTACTGATTTCCTAAGAATACAAGCGGTTTTGAAAAGAGTATCAGCATAAAAGCTGGTGAGTTCATAAGCATGTTTTTGTAATGAAAATCCTGTCATTGAATCTGTAAAATGTTTGTATGCTTCCCAAGAAAATCCAATATTTTCTAACATATATGTTTATTACTGTGTTCTGTATAATGTATTAGTTTGTATGTATGGTTACCACCAGCTGCATTGTATAACGTTGTTTTGAATGAAAACCCTTTGTATGAAAACCCTGGCTATCACCAGTAATGTATATAATGTTCTGTTTGAAAACCCTGCTTACTACCAGTATGTATAGTAGTTTCATTACCTAAAATAAAACTATGAGTTGAAATCCTTGGAGTCCTCCAGTTGTATTATGAACTAGTTTTATTAATGAAAATAAAACTAAAGAAGAATGAAATCCCGTAAAAAATAAGGGTAGTTTATACTATTGTGAGTCGTATAACCATGCTTGATATGACCTAGTGACCTTTACGACGTTCTTCAAGTGTCGGATATATGACATTTGTCACCCCAAGCATGTTTGCCTAACTATAGCTAGCAGTTCAGGTATGGGATTTTCAGCCCCGAATAGATCTATTCACAAATCTCACGCTCTCCCTCCAGGAGACTCTGGTTATACTATGATAGGATTTAACCTATACCCCGAAAGGTACAATTGAAGAGTTGTCTCACAATCCTGTATTAACTAGTTTACGTGTAGTTCTGTATTGATCTACTGTATTTAAACCCGTGTGTATACTTTATTGGGTAATAATTATACTTAAATAATTAGTTAATGTTGTACTCTTGAAGTCCAAATGTAGTAATGTATATCATAAACTAAATTTGTCATAGTTTATATGTTTTGCTATGTATAACTCTGGATTCACAAAACTATGTATTGAAAACCCAAACTATAACTATTATAGTTTGCATGTATGTTGTATACTTGGTTTATGTATTGATCTGAAAACTATGCAATTTTGACTGTAGATTGAAAAAGTCCCTTATGCTCAACATGTTACAAAAGGGATAAAATACCTAAATATTTTATAAACATGTGGAAACTGTAAGATTGTATCAATTGCATCAGTTTTAAATGTGTTGAAATCCTTTTGTATAAATGCACAAAATCATTTGTGTTTGGCTTGTACTCTCCCCCTGAAAACATTAAAATCATAAAATCATAGGGGTATGAACTCACTGTTCGTTGCGTGAAAGTGTTGGACAACGAAACTGGGAATGAAGACCCTCAAGTTGATGTACACGGCACTCAACGGAATCCTAATACAATTAATACATATATGTATTTTATTAGCAAAACCATTTATTATAGTGTTGGAAGAATACTTGTTATTGGTTTAGGAATGTTACCGAGACACGATCGAGGTGGAAAAATGGGTTTGCGGCCAAGATTCACGGTGTGAGGGAGTTTTCGGCCGTGAACTGTTCTCGGCCGTGAACAGCCCCTTGAAGGGTTTACGGCCGTGAACGGTGTTCTTGAAGGATTTATGAATCTTTGAAGGGTTTACGTCCGTAAACAGTTTGCGGCCTTTGAATATTTGAAGATTTGAAGGGTGTACGACCGTAAACTCAAGAACAGCAACACTTGATTTGACGAAAAACTGATGTTTTGATGCTCCCCAACGAGCTCTAAGGCTAATAGAGTGATAGATGAAGAGAAATCTTGAGTTTTCCTGTGTTTTCGGGTGGGGGTTTTTAGAGAGAGGGAATGTGTTTGCGGTCAGTAAAGTTCAAATGAGGGTGGGAGCCTCGTATATATAGGCTGGGGGGTATGGTCGGTGGTGGGGGCCACATGTCGTTGGCCGTAGACGGGTTTACGACTATGAACATCACTCAGGCCGAAAACTATTGATTTTTCGAAGGAAACTCGAGTTTTTTTCGCGTGATTTTGGTTCTGACTCTTATATAAAATTCAATTATATAACTTAAATGATTTTCCAAATCATAAGAATTTGATGGAACTAA